CACTCTGCCTACAAGTCTCCCTTTTCCCTTATTCATCCGTCCAAATCACTATCCAAATCAAATGTCACCTCCTGAGAAGCCTCCTCTGATAGTCTATACACTATCTCTCTACTTCTGTTAATCTTTAATATTTTTACCTTTAGCAACACTTATAAAATTGCATTGTAATTTTTAAGGCATGGCTTTATTTCTAGCCTCTTGCAGTGCCCTATTTCTTTGAAACTCAATGAATTAACACATGAGTACATGCAAGGCCTGTACTTTCTCCTCTTATAAAACAAGTGGGAAGAATTTCCTAGCTCAGTCTCTCTGTCAACTGAGTAAATATTACCTAAGTACGTCTTATGAACCTAGTCTTGTGTAGGTTTTTATGAAAATGATTTTTTTTAAAGTCAAAGTTCTTATCCCCATGGAAAACTCTGTCTATCAAAGGAGACAAAGGGATAAGTGCTCTGGTTGTATGAGGAAAACATACAAATCTAAGGAAAACAAAGGAGGAGATCCCGACCCAAGCTGGGAAAAGTAATTTGCTCCTTCAAGGAGAGAGCCACCAGTTCTAAAACTTGAAGGATAAAGAAGAAGAAATTTAAAAAGCCACATTAGGTGTTTTCCTTCCTGACTAGAATAACCGACCCACATTTCGTAACTGTCTAACCAGGTTGTACGAATCAAGGATCAGTGTATATATAAATTTTGTTCCAGATTTTAAGTCAATACTCTTTTAATAGACTCTGCCAGCCTGCTATGAGTAGTACTGGGCACCTCTTGGTACAATTTATTTTATGACTAAAGGGTACATGTATAAAAGATGGCATTGCCCAGCCAGGTAACAAAATTGTCTGAGACTTTGTAAACTCATTCACTTTATGAAAGGAAAAGAGACCTCAGCAAAGCAAAACATTACTTTAACCAGCTACTATAATAAATGCTATTTATTATTCTAATGAGGAATCTTGATCATTCAGTCGCCAGGCATGAGCAGTGGTGGATAACTGCTACCACTTTGCATCTCCTGTGTATATCCCACAGATTAATTGTGCTCTTGTCTGACTTGAGTTACTACAGCCTTTGAATGACAAAGAACATTGTAGAAAATTAACAGATTGAAAACAGAAACCATCCTCATCTGAGACCATTTTTTATAGTGAATACATTTATATTTTCATTGAAGTTTCCCTTCTCTCTCTACTTGATCTAAATCTCTTGCCATCATTTCTCAATGCAATGAAGAGTTCATACCCTTCCCATTTTCACTATTATTTTGCTGTCTCTCTTAGTGGATGCCTTGATTAAGCCTTATTCTTTATATGAATGTTGATGCTATTCTTAGTGCTGTAACAGCAGCTTTGTTTCAAAGAAATAGTAGACACTGCAAGATGCTAGAGATACTACAATAAAGCCATACTTTAAAAAATCACAACGTAATTTGATAAGTGTTGCTAAAGGTAAAAATATTAAAGATTAACAGAAGTAGAGAGATAGTGTACAGACTATCAGAGGAGGCTTCTCAGGAGGTGACATTTGATTTGGATAGTGATTTGGACGGATGAATAAGGGAAAAGGGAGACTTGTAGGCAGAGTGTCATGAGAAACACGGCATGTTCAAGAAATAAAAATTGGCTTCATGTGACTAGAAAATAGGACATATGGGAAAGGGACTGGATTGTGACAGAAGCCAAAGTTGGCTAGCAGCTCATGCTGTGCTAAGGAATCTGAACCTGGGTCTTATCTTCAGTGGAATGGGAACCAATGATACCTTTTAAGCAGAGGAGTGATGTGATCAGATCTAGTTAGACACGAGATTCTGCCATTATCGTGGAAGAAAATGAATCTATTCACTGAGGTTTGAGAAACTATGGACAAGGAAGCTATAACATCAGGTTGGGAACACTGACCGAAGTGACTGTTGGTTAAGTCAAATGGGAAAAGCCCGGCACAGTGGCTCACGCCTGTAGTCCCAGCACTTTGGGAGGCCAAGGCGGGCAGATCACTTGAGCCCAGGAGTTTGAGACCAGCCTAGACAACATAGCGAAACCCCATCTCTACAAAAGGTACAAAAATTAGCTAGGCATGGTGGTGCACACCTGTGGTCTCAGCTACTTGCTAGGCTGAGAAGTAGGAGGATCACCCGAGCGTAAGAGGTGAAGACTGCAGCAAGCCGAGATCATGCCACTGCACTCCAGTCTGGGTGACAGGGCAAAACTCTCAAATGAAAAAAAAAAAAAAAAAAAGAGGGTAAATTCATAAGATAAGCATTTCCTTTCCCTAGGATATTTATACCCTCCTTCTCTGATACAGGTTGTCAACTCCATGGGAAAATGAACTGCATTTTTCTCTGAAGCCTAATGTTTAAATAACAGCATTCTTACTCTCTTAGCATGAGTAACAATAATAATTTAGTAAGAGCAAGCAAATAATATTGCAAGCTGAAGGAAATTCCATACCTGAGACACTTTGCCTATTAGAATCGGAGTCCCCGTTACTGGAATTAGAATTGTTGGAAGAGTTGTTGTCAACCCCTCCCAGAAGGGGGCGCAAGTGGCTTACTGAGACTTGTTCAATGAATGAAGTTCCATACTTGCGAAAATACCACCATTCAAATATCTAAAACAGAAAAATAAGCATGTTTATGGTCCCTGTTATCATTTATGACTTCTGTACACATGCCCATAAAACATGTTACATTTACTAATTCTATCCACCTTAAGTACATTTTATTTCAAAAACTGTTTATTCTAAAAATTAGTTTTTAGTAAAATTAATAATAACATTTAAAATTCTCAGTGTGGTTTTCTCTGCTTAATACTGGTTTCAAAAAACTATAATATCAATCATGGATAAAAGAACACTGTTAAGAACTGCTCAATATAATTTTTCTCCAAATCTGTATATAATATTCAAATAACAAAATCACCATAGCTGAAAGACAATTCCAGAAATGTATATAAATAACTCAGTTTTTGAAATATGGCTTATGAAATATTACAGTTCTTTGCACTTTATATTCTGATAAAAACCATACCTGTGTAAAATGCTTACGAGCAAAATCGGGGAGGGGAGGTGGTGGGGGTGTTTGGTAAGACCTCCTTAAGGAAATACGGGTTTTACAGAACAAAAGAATGAGATGTATCCCATTTCCCACATGGATAGCACCCAGCCACTGAGGTTCAGCATTATTCCACTTGCAGAGAAGTGCTTTATAAACACAAGCATCTGTTGTACACCATTAATGTTTACTAGTTCACAAGCCTACTAATTGTTATGTACTGTGAATTACAAAAGGGAAAAGAAATAACTTTCAGTAATGAAAGAACAATGATGCTTATATGATTAGACTGAAGTCAGGACTTCCTAAGCACTGGAAAAGCAGTGACCTCCCCCAACACTTCTTACCTGGGCTCTCTGCCTCTCTACAGTGAACACTTCCTACCACTGCTCAAAGTGGCTCTCTCCCACATCTTTTTCTCTCCTCCCTGATTGGGGGTTTCCTTAGGCAATCACAAATCATTCCACAGAAGAAATTTAAGAATCAATCATATCCCAGAGTCTCATAGGATAGCTACATTTTTATAACATAAATTGTGCAATTAACATAGAATTACCTTTATCCTTACTTATTCCATAAAAACAAGATTATCTACTCTGGAATGGACTTTGGGCTATAATTTTAAAACTGATGTTTTCTCTCTTTTGTTCTATTAAAGATTTCTAAAAAGATACAAGGAACATCTATGAACAACCAGAAGGAAGTATCAATCCAATGAAACGTTTCCAATCCTATAACAGGATACCTTGATTTAATCCCAGGGAGTTACTCTTTTTGACTATAGGTTGAGTAGCCCTTAAATGAAATGCCTGGAACCAGAAATGTTTTGGATTTTGAGTATTTTTAGATTTTGGGATATGTGTATCACACTGGTTGAGCATCCCTAATCCAAAAATCCAAAATCCAAAATGCTCCAATGAGCACGTCCTTTGAGTGTCATGTCGGCAGTCAAAAAGTTTCAGATTTTGGAGCACTTAAGATTTCGGATTTTCAGATTTTAAAGTGCTCAGCCTATCGTGAATTATCACATGTTAAAACATCCAAGTATTTTCTCTGGGCAGAGAGGGGAGAATATACTAGCAAGTTAAGAAGGGACAAGACTAATCTGTAACATTTGGAATGACTAGGAATGGGATTTTGCATAAAGGAAGAAAGTTCAGGAATGATAAATTTACACACCATGGATCTAGAAGGTGAGTTATTATCTGAACATTAGTTTCTTCAACTGTAAGTGGAAATCATATTTATTGTTTATCTCAAGGGTCCTCAATTTTCATACTAACCCCATGTAAAACACCTAAGTCAGTGCCTGCTGCAGTTGGTTGTCAAAAGTAATAGCAAAGCTGCCGTTTATTATGTTAACGATGCACATCCCTTCCACGGGCAGCACACCTCACATGCTACCATGAGGCACCCCTCTTTATGCCAGTCTACAATTCAGGTTAGTACAGCATTTTGCCTGTTACTAGACCGTTGGTAGAAAGTACTGGAAATCATCATGACAAAGGGTACTGCTCACTGTACAGTCCTGACCACTAAACAAGGCTCTCAATAGATTCATGGCTTTGCCTTTATTAGAAGAGAAGACTCCAAAGGACCCAGAAAATTATTTGCCCCAAGTCATTTTTCTGCTTTCCATATTGTGCTGCTGGAGCACCTGCCAGTCCTAAGTTCACTGATTCCATCACACAGCACTACATGTTCCACACCAACCATAAGCAGTGCTCCAGCATTACAGACTTGGCCCCTGCCACTACAAGTCTATGTCACAGATCCATAATACCTCTCACAGGCTCCTGACATGCCTGTACCCGTCACACACACACAAACCCTGGCTTTCTTCAGATTTCTCAGTTCTTCCAGCAGAACCATAAAGTGTCAGTGCTACAAAGGACCTTAAAGGTCTACATAGAGTCCACTTACAGCTGCAGAATGAGAACTACCCATCAAGGTAGAATGACCTGACCAAAGTCTCATAGCTAATTAAATAGTCACTTAGCCAGAAGCCCCTGCTCTCTGTCACTATCTTACCAAGGCCCTATAACAAGGCTTTTTATAGCTCCCTTGCTTCATGTAAACAGACAGATGTAGCCTATCATTCCTTTTTTCAAATCTTTACTTCCAAGTGCCCTCTGACACTGTCCCTTTGTGCTTTCCTAGTTATAAAAACCAATCCAGAAGTAGTCTATCAACTGGGACCAGATTACTCATCCTAAGGTAAAAATGACTTGTATTAACTGGACATTTGCTTTGTAATAGGTGACAGACCTTCGACCCAGTATTTCTAATGCAGTAATAACAGACCTCAGTGAAGACTGGGTTATTCATGCAGCTGTTCGGGGAGGAAAAGGAGGGCCTTCTCAGGTCTGTCATATCCCTGCAATATTACAGCCCCTGCTGTGTACAGAGAACACAAGCACAAAAATGGACCTCTGCTGTGTACAAGGGACACTAGAATAAAAAAGGACCCTGTCCTTCTAATAAATATTGAATGAACAACTAGGAAAGAAAGAAGGGAATAACTCAAAACCTTCTGAAACTTCAAACATAGTGTCCTCATCTAGGGTCTTAACATAAAAATCTTTCCCTTATTCTGAATCATGTCAGGCTTTGGGCAATTACCTCACAGTATTTTAAAAGAGCTGCACAGATCCAAATGGGCAGATGGTGTTATTTAATGCGCACATATTCGGTGTCACTTTGAATTCTTTTCCCTGGTGCATACCTACAATGTAAACAGCAGAGCTCTCATAAACAAATTTAGATTTTAAAAGTACTTCTTGGACATGCTAGTAGCTCAGTGGGCCTGTCACAGTGGAACAAAACAGTTTTTAGTCTGACAGATCACCAAAAAATTAAAATACAAATATGCATTTCATAGTCTTAAAAACCTCTCCTGTGCTTTTTTCCTATTCATGCTCTTCCCCTAAGAAGGTCAGGTAAGATGAGAATAAAAAGTATCAAGCGGGTTTGGGATTTAGGAAGTCAACAGGGACCTTACCATTTAGTTTAAAGGCAAAACCCCTTTAAACTAGATAGCTGGGCTATGCGACCTTGGTTGCTTTTCTTGATTCCTTGGGGATTAGTTTTCTAATGTGTAAAATAAGATTATTGTAAGCATTCAGTTAATGTTGGACAAAGAGACGGAGAGAGAAAGGGAGGGATGACTAGAAGACTGAATGGAAGGATAGTTGGAAGGTTGACTGGATGGATGATAAGGGCTGGTCTGGTTGATGTAATGGGAGATTGTCTAAATAAACAACAGGATCAATAAAAGATTTTGTGTTCATCTTGTTTTTTACGAAAAAGAGAGGCTCACACATATTTGTGCTAGGGGAAAAGAATCCAATGGAAAGAGAGAAACTGATGGTGGGAAACAGTACAAATTACCCAGAGACATGATGCCAAGTAGGAAGCATATCTATTCTGCCTTTTAAAAGTAACCCACCGGCCGGGTGCAGTGGCTCACGCCTGTAATCCCAGCACTCTGGGAGGCCGAGGCGGGCAGATCACCTGAGGTGAGGAGTTCGAGACTAGCCTGGCCAACATGGTGAAACCCCATCTCCACAAAAATACAAAAATTAGCCAGGCATGGTGGTGGGCACCTGTCATCCCAGCTACTCGGGAGGCTGAGGCAGGAGAATTGCTTGAACCCAGGAGGCGGAGGTTGCAATGAGCCGAGATCGTGGCAGTGCACTCCAGCCTGGGTAACAGAGTGAGACTCCGTCTCAAAACAACAACAACAAAAAAAAAACAACCACTTCTTGCTCTAAGATAGGAAGAAAGAGAAAGAATGAACAGGGGGAGACATTCTATTTTGGAAAGTACAGTGTGTTATGAGCTGTTTCCCAGGCTAGAAGGCAATAACCGGATAAAAACTGGGTGACACTGATCTCAGTGGAGATGCAGGGAAGGTTTATCTTCTGGGAATAAGGGAGGTGGGGACGGAATTGGGAATGAGGGCTGAGGAAGTGGTTTGGACCTATATCTTGCAAGGCAGAAGGGCCAGAAGCTATACTCGAGGCCCATATCATATTTAAAACAAAGATACTTTGGCAAGGACCCAGTTACCAATGCCCAGTGAGTTCCTTCATTATTATTTGACAGAAGCAGAGGGGATAGCCAAGGAGTACTGGGGCTGGGAGCTGGGGGCAGAGACCCAGGTTTCCAGCTGCCCTAAGCTTCAAACTTGTCTCATGTTTACCTGCAGGGAACAAAAATCTGGCAAAGGAACAATAAACAAGGCCCTTCCATCAATCTTGCAGACCTAAAAGCCTTTGCTCAAGATGCCTAGATTCTTCCTATCCAATAAGTCCTCCTCTTCTTTTGAATTGCATATTCTGTATATAAAACACTTCATGCGTCAGGAATTTCCCTATGCCCTATTATCACACTCAAAAATGCTTCCAGATTTCCACACAGCAAAAGCATAGTAATTCCACACCAACGCCATTAAACCCGTGGGAAATCGAAAGATGTCAAAGCTCGAAATTGGCTAAGTGCTTGTTAAGAATTACAATGATGTCACAGGAGGATAGATACAGTGATGGTAGAGGCT